ACAAACCTCTGATGCTGACTCACTGCCCAGACAGCAGTAACTGCTGTTTGGTCTAAATGTGGCCCACATCTGCAGTTTTCTATGGGCCACTGAGAGAGATGACTCACTTTGACTCAGACAGAAGTTCCACCTTAAACGAGCCAGATGGAAGGTGTATTGCAAATTTTAGGCCACGCATAAAATAACAGAACATTTTCTAACACTGTAACTGAGGATAAGAACAAAAATCAATAGAGATTAATTCAAATGTGAAAGAAAGAAAATTAGAAAAAGGAAAAGATTTCTAAAAACAAGAAGCTGATTTCAGGTCCTTCAAATCCATACATGCATATGTCTGGCATTTTATTCAAACTGTGCCTCTTACACACTGAATATCACTGAGCTGCACTGCACACTGCAAAGAGTTAAGAGTATGGTAGTAGATCCATGCTGCTGATTCCAATTCAGTATTGATGTCCTGTCACCCCCGGGGACTACTTCTAGTGAGAACAGACCCGAGTAAGCACTTAGTGAGCACTAGCCACTGATGAGAAACACTCACATGCAGTAATTATTTTGTTTATTCCTCAACAGCACTCTTTTTAGTCAAAATAAGGACAAAACTGTTAAAAATCTGAGTTTCCAAGTGCGTGCAAAAATTATCTGGCCACATCTCTGTCGTCTGACATCGGCTGCTCGTTTTCCTGCACTGAAGACAAAACAGCCGTTTCTGTGCGGGGTGACACATCATGCAGTCATCCGTGCTGAGCAGCTTTATTTTTTGGGTAACAGTATGCTGAATGCATATATTTGCACATTTTTGCTCACTAGCTTCTCAGCAGATGGCATAAATATGTGCATATATTTTGCTTGTGATTATTTGCCCCCCCTCCCCCGCGCTTCCTTTAAGGTGTGTTCCTGAACAAGCTGTATGTCATGGGGCTGACAGCAGAGCTGGGAGTCTGACCTCCAAACATCATTGGTCAGCAAATTGGGGAGGGGGAGATATGCTGCAGTGTCTTTTTTTTTCTGCAGAGGGAACATGCTACAACATTGCTTCTACCGCCTGCACATCTCCTTGTATGTGCATTAGCCGTTCCCTTCTTCCCCATTCCTCTCTGCAAAAAATCTCTTCATTCCAGTTTTCCACTTCACCTATTGTGAGAATTTATCCCATCGCTGCTAAAAATGTCAGGCTAACAAAGACTTAAAGTAACACTGCTTGTCTTTTTTAAGTCCACACATGTCCACCAAACAATGGCAGTATGCTGCTATAAGACTGCAACTCCCTATAACTACGCACACAATCATATTCTGGGAGTAAATAAATGGATGTCCAAAGCACAGGTGTCACTCAGTCAGTGTGTAGTGAGGGTTTGGACACGCTGATGATGAAGATTTATTTGTGAGTTAAAGCTGTTGACATAATTACATAGCACAGGTTAACAACCGCTACAGCGAAGAGCCAAGAGGGCAAACTCACCTTTTGTGTTAGGGCATTCCAACACTCCGGAGACTCAATCTATAAATGAGGGAGAGGAGATTAACCCAAGCCGCACACATACTCCCACTGATGGAGCTGTTGCCTCCCACCAATTATCCCTTTTGCATGAGTGCATTCAATCACACGCGTACGCACAACACGCACCGGCCACAATCTGGCAACAGTAAGTGAAATAAGTACAGTAACGCCTGTCACTGTCCACAGGTAAGTAGGGGTGCTTCTCCTTATTCTTAATCCCTTATTCCAGCGCCAAGTTGTTCCTCTTGGTCAGAATCAGATGGTTACCTGATGGTTACTTTTCTTCTCTTCGCGAGCTGATCAAGGTGCATCTCATGAGTTAGTTGGTGTTATGGCAGAGGCTCCTGTTCTCATCACAGCCCTTTCCACTCCATGCGCCTTTGATCTCACTTCATTTGATTGCCCCTATTCCTGCCCCCCCCCTGCTGAATCCTTTCAATCTATTCTTCCTGCTTTTATTTATTGCATTACTAGCTTGACCTCCACCAGCACCACCACAGTGCTGACCATGCCAGCTGTCTTCAGTTTTTGCAGGTCTTCAGCAATCCAGGAGTTGGCACAACGCCCTGTAAACTGCCTCAGCTTAAGTGGTGGGATAAACCAATCAGTGGCCTCAGGTCTGTTCCAGGAAGTACCTGCTCTGCAGCCCAATAATCTGAGGGGGGATGAAGGAGAAAAGGGAGGTGAGAGAATGGTGTGTTTACATATCTTCGGGTCTGACTACAGAGAGAAGAAGGCTTTTCTTTTTCCAAACTGAAGCAATGTAATGTTTCCTCCTTTTCATGCAACACAGCTGTCCTCATCCATAGCACTAATCCAGTTAATAGACAGAGTAAACATGCTGTGTTAAAATGTTGCTGCAGGGTCAGTGACCTTCCTTCATCCATCTCTGCATAATTAATCGATTAGCAGTGTGCAGGAGAGATGGAAAATGAAAAAGACAGGAAAAACGCTGACACGGTCTGTGGAGTTTAAGAGATTTAAGATGTTAATCACACGTTGCTATCTCCACATTTAAAAGATAGTACTTATGTATGCAGTTCTATGATACTATAAATCCAGAAAGTGCACAGCTGCAGCTCTCTGAGGCTAAATGTTAACACGCTCACAGTGAAAATTCTTAAGATTGGTCCATTTTTTTCCTCTTTTTTTCAGACCACAGTTAAAAAACTAAATGATGGCTGAAAATACAGGAAAAAATATTTTTAAAGTTCAGTGAAAACGATTTCAGTAGCACTTCGTTGCAGGTTTGAACTACGGCAGTGTTGTATGGCAAAAGATGGGACATGCAACCCCCGCAGTATGATAATTGATGTTAAGATAATGAAAATGCTTTGGCTCAACTGGCACTTGTATCTTTATGCTTCCATAAAAAAAATAAAGGTTTTTATCTCAAGTGAAATTCAGTTTAAAGAATAATTGTCAGTCTAACATTATTGCTTTTCATTTTTTTTATGTAACTTACACCAGCTGTAAGTAATTTCTGATTTTCTATCACTGCTGACCTTTTAAAGGCCTGCCATGGTGATTACCTTCAGATTTATAGGTATTTGGACTGCCTATGTAATGCACTTAGCTGCAGCCTACAGCTGCAATCATAGTAACTTATACTTTAAAATGAAATTACCTGCACTGTACATCTCTGGTGGAAGTCATACATCTTTGACTCCCTGCATTAAATAATTAATTTGAACTAAAATAAATATAATCAGTGTCATCGGTTGCAAGAGTCAGGAGTGAAATAACATTGATGCTTCATTTATGTCCATAGTGTAGATATGATTGCGTTCTGAACTGTGTTGTTCTGGGTCCCTACCAAAAGGACTTCTTATTATTCTATTTTCTAATAGAATAATAAGAAGAAAAGTTATGTGGGGTCAGATAATATATTCAATTAAAGCACCCTGCAAAACAGAAACAAATCCATAGATTTTAGCACATTATCCAGTATGTGTAATGCAATCTCCAACACAAAGATGCATACAAACTGTATAATACGGGCTCATTGACATTTGTTGTGTCATTCTGTTGAAAGACCTGTCACTATAAATATGTGCTGTACCCTGAAAGAGGACTCATAGCGCCCACCAACAAACAGCACAGCATTACTTAAGCTCATGGTTTAATAGCAGCGTTTTACTGCCCTCCAGTGGTTACTAACACCAAGTTCAGATTTACAACAACAAGATTTCACTTCTCTGTCGTTCTGAATAAGGACATATCAGGTCATGTAATGAGATGTCAGTTTGTACGCTGCAGTGTTCCTGCAAGCCTCGGAACAATCAGGGAGAACTTGATACTCTGTGAATAAATGTAATAAAATTAAAGCAGAGAGAGAGAAACTGTAAAGTGTGCTTTCTGTACATTTGTTTAGGGTGTACTCTTAAATATAACTTAACAAAAACACAGTCTTAAATGACTGTGTTTATGCCTCTAAATAACAAAGGTTGACCAAAGTGCTGTACATAGTAAAAAAGTAAAAAGCAGAACAAACACACACAAAGAATCACACAAAAGCCCAGTCACAATTAAGTGATGATGGGTTTTTAAAAATGTCAAGTGTTGGAGAGATCCTAATATGAAGAGGCAGACTGTTCCAAAGTTTGGGCACAGCAATCGCAAAGGCCCTAGCTTGTTTCTAGGGACAACTACAAGCAACTTATTAGCTGACCTGAGAGTAGGTCTGAGAGGTTTGACGGAGCTAACCCGTCACAGCTAATTTAGAGACTTAAAAACAAGAAAGAAAATCTTAAAATCGATTCTACAACGTACTGGAAGCCAGTATAAATGAGCCAAGACTGGACAGATATATTCATGTTTACGAGTGCCTGTCAAGGGTCGGGCAGCTGCATTCTGAACTAGCTGAAGATGAGAGAGCAGAGCCTGGCTGATACCAAAATAAAGAATATTACATGTATGAATGACCATGAGGGAAAAGCCATGTAGGAAAAGCTTTAAAACACAGTTGAAAGTTCAAAATTAAGTTTTTCCAAAGTTATGCAGTGGGTTGGATTGGACTCTTAGCAGAGCTTATTCTGGCACCCAGGCCTTGTGTTTGTGACCCCAAATCGAAACCTCATCAGGGTAAGGGAAACCATATCCCACAGGTGTGTGGTTCACTTGCTATAACAAGTGCTTAGCTATAAGATGCTACTCCTCTTAAAAGAGAAGCAGCAGTTGTTTTTTTTGGATAGTGAAAACCTCGTATTTATTCTGGTCCTGTCACTATAATAAGTGTGCGTTTTAGAGTACCACATATAAACTTTGAGCTACCTAAATGACATCTGACTAGTTTCATATCCTAAAAAAAACGAACTAACTAAATAAATATAAAGTAACAATTTTTTTGTTTTAATAACTTATAACATAATAAATATAATTAACTATTAATTTAAAGGATGCCTAAAAGAAAAAGAGAAATAACTACAGCTGTCTGTTGTTACCTGCACATATTTACGACACTTTTCCTACACAGCAGTGTATTTGCTCAGGCGCATCTCAGTCGCTGTTTAACTCACCGCGGATGTTAAACATGTTTAAAAACGGTTCCCGGTTTAATATATGAAACCACCGACAAATGTTTCAGAAGGCACGAACATAATAGACGACCGGCTGACTCAACCTGTTTACACCACGCCTTCCTGAATCCTGTCTACGGTCTACACGCAAGTCCAAAAAGTTTGTTCGGAAACTAGACGTCAAATCACCCGACGTGTCTCTGGAGTGTAGGATATGATGCATATAAATTTTATGCAAACTTAATATCTCAATATCTGTGGCTATCCGCCTGCGTGAAATGGTTAGCTCTCCAGTGGATACCCACCACCGAAGAAGAAACGAAACCACAGTTTCATTTCCTCATAAGCGCCGCTGTGGCTGTGTGCGTTCAGCGATAGAAGCCGTGCAGCTGCAGGGGGAATCTTCTGTCTGGACTCTGACTGTCGAAGGTATTGTGCAATGTTCACATCTGGTAAGAAATCTGTATGGACTGCATTCAAAATATTAGTGTGCTTGTAAGGTCAGCGTGGGAGCGCTGTAGTCACCCTGTAATTACGAGGGCGGATATTTTTGAAAGCTTTCAAAGTTACAGAACTGCGCAAAGGGCTGGATCCACCGCTCATCTCTTTATATTTTGATAGGAAATACGAAAAGGTTGCCGCGACTTATTGAAACATGAAAAGGTAAAAACAACGAGCTCGACAGTGAATATTTGGTATGATCATCGTTGCTTTAAACATAGCCCGAGCTCTCTTAGGCAGCTTTCTTCTAATATCTTTAGGTAGTCTTCAGGAAAAGTTCTCCAGGCTTCTTGGAGGACATTCAGAGCTCTTCTTTGAATGTTGGCTGCCTTTTGTTCTGTTCTCTGTCGAGATGATCCCACCCTGTTTCAGTAATATTGAGGTCTGGGCTCAGTGGAGGTCAATCCATGACTCGTGATCTTTTATTGTTTATTTTTCCATTCAGGTTTATCCAGCCTGTACTGCAGGCAAAGTCTAGTAAACTACTGCCCAAGAATGTTTGGCTCCTTGGAAGTAAACTACTTGTATAAAGAAGTGAGGGATGGTCCAAGACTTTTGCACAACAGTGTTTACTAGTTCTACAGTGTAGTGTCACAATTGAAATCGTTGGTACATTGTTTTTGTAATTTTCCCAGTATACCAAATATTATATTTTTATATAAACAAATTGTGTAGAGTTATAATTGTTATTAATATAGAGGAAAGTAAAAAAAAAAACAAAAAAAGTAAGAAAAACATGTCTCAGTTCCACCCAGCTCCACAGAGGGCTTCTCAGCCTTTTCTTTAGTCTTACCATCCCAGCAACAAATTTGAATGCAAATCCACCCTTCTCTCTTCTTTAAAGGTCTTTGAAATGATGTGCGCCCATCGTTCCCGTCTCCTGTCATGGATCCTCGTCACGTGTTGTGTTTTGACGGGACCGTACCGTTGCGATGCCTCTGAGAAGAAGACCTCCTGCTATGTGGAAGACGGCCGAGCTGACTGCAGTCGCCTCCGCCTCAGTGCGATCCCTTCAGACCTTCCCAGGAACATCACCAGCCTGGATGTGTCCCACAACATACTGAGAGGGATTACCCCGCTGTCACTAAGCCTGTACCCGGGCCTCCTGCACCTCGACGCCGGTTACAACAGCATCACCAAGGTGGACGCGGGTTTGTGCCAAACACTGCCTCTGCTGCAGATGTTGAACCTGGAACACAATCAGGTGCATTTGCTGAATACTGGAGATATGAGCCACTGCACCCGACTGACATCGTTGAACTTGGCTAGTAATAGACTAAAGCTGCAGGGAGAACCCTTCTCGTCACTGCAGGTACTGATGTGTCGGATCACTTAGATGACTAATTATTGCTTGACTCAATTATATTTCAAGGCCAAAAACTGTACGTTTGCTCCTCATTATTAATATGACAGCTCTGTTTCAGTTAGTTTTCTTTTTATCATACAAATCATCAGTGATCAGTGTTTTGGGGATTTAGGTTAGGTTAGGTCATGGATTTAGGTTATACAGCCTGCTGCCCAAAGCTTGCTGCCATTTGTTTGATATCTACAGATGTGTTGGTATCCAAACAAATTAAATTTGGGGTAAAGAGTATGTGTGTGTGTGAGGAAATGTGGAGCTTCCTACTTCCTCTGAGAGAGATATTGAAATTTTGCCACATATAGCTTCAAAAATCAAGTCCCACAAATGTAAACGGAAGAGGTTTGTGTATTAATTTCAGTTCGATTTTCCGAACTTCCTATGATTAGCAGGAAGTGAAAGTTACTGCGTTTTTTTTTCCAGTCTTATTAAATACACATATCAACTTTTTCTAAACTAACTGTTACAGCAGTTGTTAGCTGTTGTTTCATCACGGATTCTGCCTTCCAATCATCTTTTCAGCTGGGATGCATCTGTTGCTCAGCGCATTTCTTCCAAGCCACATATTTCATATGCGTGACTCACCCCACCCCAACAAAGTCTGACAGTCTTTTTCCGCTTGCTTCAGCCAGTCTTCATTGTAGCCGTATTTCCTTTTTTTAATGGTTGTTTCCATTAAATTACAAAATCTGCACCACTTATATCTTTGTGGTGATGTGTAGTTCTCTCAGTTTTGCATGCATCTGCAACAAAAGACACGGACATTGTAACCTGCACTTGATGTTTCCTGGTTTCTTCACAGCCACTAGATAAAAAAGCCAGACATTTTGACCAAAAAAGCATCCGCCCTGCAGTGTTAACTTTGGAAAACTAGAGCCAGTGAAAAATGTGGGACGCTTTCTTTATGATTGGAACGATGGTGGTGTTGGGGGGGGGACCCTTTGGAGTTCCTCTGCCATTCTTTAATTTGTACTTAATGGAAATAAAGGCAAGTAAGAACAGTTAAAACCTAATAACTATGGACTGTCCTGCAAAAGTAATACACATGAGTAACGTAAATTCCACCTACCACCAAAAATAAAATAAAATAAAACAATAATAAAAAAAAAACAAAGAGCCGAGGAATTTTAATATGAAATGGATGGATGGTGCATATGTGAGCTGCCTTTGTAGAGAGATGGAGCAAACTATCCTGTGACCTGAGAGAAGTGCTGCTTATGAAATTTTGTCTGACATATGCTGTGGATCAATTGTTTGCCTCTTGTGCACAGCATTAAATAACCCTTCTTCTTGTCTCCCTCTTCTTTAATAATCCACAGAACCTAACCTTTCTAGATGTTTCTAAAAACAAACTGCAGTCACCCAAGCTCGGCTCCCAGCCTCAGCTGCCCAGCCTGGTGAACTTCAGCCTGGCATTCAATGACTTCACCACTCTGAAGAAAGATGACTTTTCATTTCTTGACCATTCATCCTCTCTGCAAGTCCTCAACCTGTCATCTGTGTTTTTAAAAACAGTAAGAAACTTGTTTAATCCAGAAATGGGAAATGAAATTCCATCAAAATCGGAACTGGCAGTAGAAAGTAGAGTTACTGTAGCACATTCCTTTCGGTTGTCTGTTTTGTTTCCTTTTTCCGTCTCACTAAAAAAAATCTCTGTGATTGTTTGTTTGCAGTTGGAGCCCGGCTGCTTTCAGCACATTTCAGGCCTGCGCACTTTAATCATGGATGGGGGCAACTTGGGAACTCTGATGGTTTCCAAACTGTGCTCAGAGTTGTCTGGGACAGCCATCGATGCTCTCTCTCTTCGGAAAATGAGTCTAGTCATGGTCACAAACAAAGTCTTTACAGGACTGCAGAAGACAAATCTAACCTTCTTGGATCTGTCCAGTAATGGCATGGGTAAAATTGAAGACGGCTCATTTCAGTGGCTATCTAAACTTCAAACTCTAAATTTGTCGCACAATAACATTAAGCACCTAACCAATGGGACATTTCAGGGGCTCAATAGATTGAAAAAATTGGCACTTACAGAAGCACTGGTGAAAGGTCGTACCGCTGCCCCAGTTATTGATGATTTTGCTTTCCAGCCATTAGGCATGCTAGAGAGTTTGATGTTACAGAGGACTGCAATCCGGGAAATCGGAGAGCACACCTTTGCAGGCTTAAAAAGTCTTAAAAAACTTGACATAAGCTGGATTAGCTGTCCGTCACTCCGAAACATCACCAACAAGACCTTAGCATCTCTTGCAGATTCACCAGTCAGATGGCTAAATCTTATAAATACAAATATAGCGCAGATCAATCCCGGAAGCTTCTCTGTTTTGCGAAACCTCACTGTTCTTCTTCTAGATTACAACCATATCAAGCAAACTTTGACAGGCAGAGAATTCGAAGGCCTAGATCAGGTTCAGGAAATTCACATGAGCAATAACTTCCAGTCAATTGACCTAAGCTCCAGTTCCTTTATTAATGTGCCCAACCTTAGAGTCCTGACTTTGGGGAGAAGTCTTAAAGCTTTAGCCCTAAACCTAGATCACTCTCCATTCAAACCCCTGACCAACCTCTCTGTCTTGGATCTCAGCAACAACAATGTTGCTAACATCAAAGACAATCTGCTAGAGGGGCTTGTAAACCTAAAGGTGTTGAAACTCCAGCACAACAACTTGGCCCGACTGTGGAAGAGTGCCAACCTTGGTGGGCCGGTGTTGTTTCTCAAAGATGCGCAGAGGTTGGAATCCTTACAGATGGATTATAATGGACTGGATGAGATCCCACTGAAGGCTTTGAAAGGTTTGACTCACCTCAAGGAGCTAAGCCTTAGCAACAATCTCATAAATAATCTCAAGGACTCTGTTTTCGATGACCTGAAGTCGCTGCAGGTATTACGTTTTGAGAAGAACTTGATCACAAGCGTGAGACCTGAAGTGTTTCGTACTCCCATGAGCAACCTCACCCAGCTTATCATGGGCAGAAATCCATTCGACTGCACATGCGAGAGCATCCTGTGGTTCGTGACGTGGTTGAATACCACAAATACGACGAGTGTGCCAAATGTCAGGGACGAGTATGTGTGCAACACTCCACGAGCTTACTTTAACCACTCCATCATGGATTTCGACCCCCTTTCTTGCAAAGACATGACCCCATTTCAGACTCTTTACATAGTGAGCAGCACAGCCGTCATCTTGCTAATTGTAACCGCACTCACGGTGCGGTTTCATGACTGGAGGATCCACTTTTACTGGAACATAATGATCAATCGCACATTAGGATTCAGTGATGCCAAAGTTGACGAAGGCAGAGAATATGAGTACGACGCTTATGTCATACGTACGGAGGAAGACTCCAGTTGGGTGGAGAGGAGGTTGGTCCCTTTAGAGAATGAAAAGTGCCAGTTTTGTTTAGAGGATCGAGATTCAGTCGCTGGCATGTCACAGGTGGAATCCATTGTGACAAATATGAAAAAGTCCAGAAAAATCATGTTTGTCGTCACCGAAAGTCTCCTCAAAGATCCCTGGTGTAGACGGTAAATAAAACATACACTAGATTATGCTTTATTGTGACTTTATGTATCAGGTGAAAGCTAAGTACAAGAAAAAAAATGGTGATGTGCAAGGCAGTTTTATCAAATTCTCCTTCCTTTGATTAAAAATCAGTACACTTACACCTTTCATATAGTGTTTTTAAAGCAATAGTAGTTCATTTCAAGCAATATGTAGAACTTGTCCCTATTCACCTGTAGATTTAAGCGCTCCGAATTGCTTGTTTTTTTACATGTTCACACACTAACTCTATAATTTTGAGATCAAACAGTCATTTATTTATTGCAAAAGTTGCAAAATTATCTTAGTCGGATAATATTGTTTAATAGCACAATGTCTTCTCTTTCTTGTCACCAGATTTAAAGTCTATCATGCACTTCAACAAGTCATCGAAGAAAGCAGGGACTCAGTCATCCTGGTCTTTCTTCAGGATGTGCACGATCACAAGTTGTTTCACTCACTCTTCCTCCGCAGAGGAATGTTACGTTCACGTTGCATTCTGGACTGGCCTGTCCATAAGGAAAGGATACCAGCATTTCACCAGAAGCTTCTCATTGCACTCGGCTTGACTAATCGGCTGAAGGACTGACTTGTTTATCCTTGATAATCATGACAGATTGCATTCTTGATTCTTTCCACAATAAAGACAGGATTTGAAGACCTCAAGTCTATTCTTAATGATGAGTTTCACAACTCAGTGTATATCAGTAATGATGTATACAGCGAGAGACCGCATTCACTTAATTTTAATGTACACTCAGTGATTTTATTCTACAAGTAGCTTAAAATATGACAGAAATCATTCCGTTTGGAAAAGAGCCTCAGGGGTTAATGGGTAAAAGAATTAACATAAACTAGTGTTTGTATGTTACTTCCAATTTCTGATTGTGTTGCCTTTTGTATAAATATTGCACTCAGTGGCGGTCCTAGCCTGTTTGGCACCCGGGCGAACACTCCCTCTGCCCCACACACATATGAAGAGAGAGGAAGTATGCATTGTATGCAAACGGCTACCAAACAGCCATCATAATTCGTCATACAATGAGAACAGGACAAATCAACAATTGACAATGACTAATTAATATTAAAATCTGTAACATAATGTATTGTTTGGAGTTTAGTCTGTTACTGTTACTATTTTTACCATTTCTTTTTGGAGCAACTGTAATCCACATTATTTCCTTAGGGATTAATAAAGTATTCTGATTCTGATTGTTTCAGGATGACCTGCCAATGACACATCTGCTTACCTGTATCTTTTGCTCGTTTCTCCTCCTCTTCTTTTCCATTTTTTCTAAACTGAGCACCTGATGGCTTTGAACTTTTCTTGTCCATCTTACATTGTTTTTTTTTTCTTTTTCATTTTTTCTTTTATTAGTTATTTTTATTCTAAGTTATTGTAATCAGGCCAGACTGGACAAGAAGAAAAGTTCAGAAGAAAGTTAATGGAAGGAGAGGGAAAGAAAAGGGAGAAAAGAGAGAGAGAAAAGACAATGAAAATTTGCTTCATCACCTTTTTTTCCCTCTCTTTTCCTGGATCACCTGTTGAGAAAAAAAGCAAACAAGCAGAAGAAGACTAGAGCAATAGAATAAACAACATCATGATGATCTATGGGAATATAACAGTAAATACTAAATATTAAACATTATTGTGCAGTAAGTAAGATCGACAGCGCACAGTGTGCTTTAAGGTAAAAAGGGTGTAGTTTGTGTGTGTGAGCACCCGTGTGTACACCTGTGAGCATGAACACACTTGTTTTTAAAAGGTTCCTTCATGTAATGATCTGCTAGAGGGTGTGGGGAGGCCACAGCCCCATCCTCCAGGGCATGAAGCAGGTATGGAGGAGATCAAAACTCCAGACATCCAGAGGCCCCCAGAACACAAGAGACCAAGGAAGACCAACAGAGGGGCAGCCGCGCCACTGTCCCAGAAAGAGCTGAGGAGAGTCCCAGATGGGGGGGGGTCACTCAGCAGCCGCGGAGCAGAAGCCAGGGGGGTTGCAGTGACATGCCCGGGAGCTCCACCGGCAGCCAGCTGCGCCAGAGTGACCGAGCCCCAGGCCGAGGGCACCCCACCCCCGAAGTGGCCCGAGCGAGCCCCAGGCTCCAGGCCCCGATAAGCAGCCACCAAGGAGTGAGCCGGTGTGTACCTGGACGCTCATCCAAGACCCACCAACGCACCGGTGTCTGAGGGCGTCTGTCACTGGCAGGGGAAGTTGTGGGGGGAGATAGGCCTCCAGACCTTGGAGGGCCTGAGATGTCCCCAGAGAGGTGGCGTCTGATACCCAACCTGACATATGGACACAGACAAACAGGCACACACAGATACAAACATCCATTCCCACCCTCATGCTCTCATATGCACTCACTCCACACTCAACCAACGTGGAGACAGACATAAAGAGACACTGTACACACAATCACACTCCCCAAGCGTACTCTAAGCCCCGGGGTCTAGGTATCCTTGCCCCATCTTACATTGGTTTTGATTTTGCACTCCAGTATGAACACAAATCCCCCAACTCCAGGATCGTCACAACATAACCTAATAGACCTACACCTTAGTTCACAGATTCACTTTGTCTAAGGTTTATTTCTGGGATTTCACACAACCCAGGATTCAAATCATGAATACATAATGGGCTTGGATTTACATCATTATGAATGAAATGTGCTCTATCTGGAAGCAGCCGGCCCCCCTCCCCCTTTGAAGGGTTGTGTGTACTTTAAATCATCAAACTGTAAATTATAAATTTTAAATTGTTATTGATCCCTTTACCCCTTGTCCTAAAGTGTATATTCATTTTCTTACTCTTCTTATATTTATTGTTTGTTTACTTGCACTGCTGTAACAGGAGCCTCGTCGTCTCGTCTCTCTGTATACTGGACTGTATGTAGCGGAGATGACAATAAAGTTTACTTTGACTTCAGCAGCAAGCAGGCGCACTGAGGGCTCTCGCGCTCACTTTTCACGTATAGAATTTCGAAAAAACATCGGCGCAAATTATAACTCTGTATCATGATGTCTGGTGTTTTCGTGTTTGTTGGTTTGTTTTTATTTTGCGAGTTGGTTATTAGATGCCGCTCCAGCCACCAGTGAATCCGTCGCCGCCCCGCCCTCTCCTCCCTGTGCCGCAAGCAGCAGGCGCACCTGGCAAACGGAGGGCGTCCTTACTCCCAGCAAATGGGCGATAGAAAACCGATCGGTGCCTATGCCATTCCCAATGTGCGCTGGCTGATGTCGGGGCAGCATGAGTACGAGCAATTTTTTATTTTTATTTTTTTTGCCGATGCCCGTGATGCCGCCCCGGGCAACCGCCCATGTCGACCGTATCAAAAACCGCTACTGATTGCACGAGACTGACTGCAAGAGTTGTATTTTTGCATAATAAATGCAATAAAACCGCATAAATATTTTAAATAAAAATATTAAACGTTTTATTAATAATATAAAAATCGTGGAATTCACAGATTTATTGCTTGCTCATTCGTAACATCCTCCTTTATTGTTGTTTCCAGTCTAGTCCTATTTTATATTGTATGCCAATGCAGAGGGTAATATGGAAAAAACAAACAAAAAAGAAGAAGTTGACATCGAACATCTAGTGGCTAAAGCTCAGTATTACATTTTGTACTAAGGAGTCAAAAGCAAGCTACGAAGTTGTTCTAATTTGCAGTATATTTCCAGCCACTCAGGCAATGTTTTTAAGGTGCACTGTCTTTACCTAGGTTTTTGTTTTTTTTACCAGCGGAAATGTTTTACCGTAAAAACTACCAAAATTATTTTTACCTTATTATCAGTCAATATTTAAATGGCATGCTTATTTTCCAACAAATACTTTTTCAAAACATTCTTAAGGCTGAACAAATTGTCTTAAGGATGTTCGTTTCTAAAAGTGACATTTTTACAGTCTTTGTAGACTACAATGTCTGGAAATTACTGAAAACAAATCACATTCCCACAATGGTTCAGGCTTTCTTGGGAGGGTTTATCTAAGAATTCATCACTTAGACACATGATATTATTAAAAGATTCAGAGAATTCTCTGCACGAGTCAAAGCCACTACTAGCAAAATCTCCAGTTTTAATCGACTGAGGAAAAGTTAAAAACTCTCCTGTCGTAAAATCTGTGATTTTCAAATCCTTTTTGGAAACCTCGGGCACCACCTTGTCAAAACAGAGACCTTCCTTCCTTGTTATCAGCTCACAGTTCAAAAGCCAGCATCAGGGAAGATATCAATGCTTATTAATGTGGATGCATTAACATTAAGGAGACTGGCAGACCACATATTTTAAAGCAGGGCTCTCTAGTAAAGGAGTGTAAGTCCTTTCAGTAGCTGTGGGGCCTGGGCAGCAGAAATCCTGGCTCAAACAGGAATGAGATATTACAGGCTCACTCCTTCCATTGCTAAAGGTAATTAGCGTGCAAAGCTGAAGAGCTATGATGACATAAAAAGAAAAAAAAACACAAGGCAATCACAGATAAGACTGTCACTTATTAACCAGGCAGGTAGGAGACGAACTGTTAATGTGGATAAATACACGGAGATAATAAATCGGACAAAGTTCTTGATCACGCAGTAAATAATTAACACGGGTTATTCGTGCCAGCAGAGAGCACGTTTTTCATATTTGAAAATGTACATTTACCTGTTATCTCATGCTATAAATGTCAATTTAATAAACTTTCTATGAAGTCCCTCACACATCCTCCTCTCCTCCTGGGCAATAGATGGCAATGTAAGACCAGGGGTCCCCTTTACCCACTACAGGACAGTAGAGGAGAGGAGGAGTAAAAGGCAGGGCAAAAACATGTCACAGAGCTTTTAAGGACAGCCTGGCACCGACATTTCAGCACACACAGGCTGAGCACACACACGGCATGAAAAATGGCAGTTTTAATTGGCAGTTACAGCACAACTTTACTCGGAGTTAGCATCTTTGTTGCTTTTCTGACCTACTTAACCTACAAGCTGCTGAGCGATTACCTGCACAAATGGTTTGAGATGAAGCCGATCCCTGAGCTGGGAACCACTTACCCCTTCATTGGGAATGCTCTGCAGTTCAAAAACAATGCGGGCGGTAAGCAAGCAAGCAACGTGTTCATTTAAAGTACTCAAAGTGATGAAGCACATTGAGTTTCTCGTGATTTTTGTACCCAACATCTTTATTTTTCTCTTTAAGACTTCTTTCGTCAAATTCAGGATTTTACCTGGGAGTTCCGAGATAAGCCGCTGTTTAAACTCTGGGTCGGGCCGGTCCCCTTTGTGGTTCTGTATCACGCTGAGACGGTTGAGGTAAGCGGACTGACACCTATCCAAAATACAGAGTGGATGCAGCACGTCTTATACTGTAAATATGCCTGTGATGAGTAAGCCTATGGACAATTTCCATCCCCGTTCAGCGAAGCAGGTAAACAAACCACACATGTCACTGAAGTGGAAGCTGCACTGTCGTTACAGATGGATTGGATGAGATCCTGTTGAAGTCTTTGAGATCAGCTAAGCAGTCTGTGATGACATCTTAGGATGTCTTTGCACTTTTATACAGTGCAGGATACAGAATTCCTGCCACCCACCACTCAAACATTAAGCTGAAGCCAGTTACTCCTCTTAGCACAAATTCCTCATGTTCCTTAAAGAAGTTACAATATGTCCCACCTAAACTGTATGTGTAACTTGTTTTCATCATACATCTAGATAAGATAATGGACTAAGGTGGATGCTTGCAGGGTCAGTCTGAGTGAATCATTCTTTCCCCCTGTGACGACAGGGACTGTTGGAACATAGCATGCTCGATTGTGCACTGAAGATTTCTTTAAGTAAACAACTTTTTGCCTCAAATATTACTCATGACATGTTTCTGTCTACTTTTTCTTTAAGCCGGTTCTGGCTAACAGCATTCACATGGAGAAAGCTTTTGCATACAAGTTTCTGCATCCTTGGCTGGGAACTGGTCTGCTTACTAGGTATAACTGTGGCATAGCAAACATCCCATCTGTCCATCAGGAAAGATCAAAAGATTTAGATCGTTCATATATCAAAACTTGAGCTAAGACTATGCACAAAACAAAAAGAAGCTCCTATCTACAGCATTATTATTGCAAATGAAATAATATAAAGTGCATAACGCCTTCTTATCTTTGATCAGCACTGGGACCAAGTGGCGTCAGCGGAGGAAGATGCTGACGCCCACCTTTCACTTCTCCATCCTGGAGGACTTCTTGGAAGTGATGAACGAGCAGGCTGAGATTCTGGTGGAGAAGTTGGAAAACCACGCAGGGAAGGGTCCATTCAACTGCTTCAGTCTCATCACCCTCTGTGCTCTCGACATTATCTGCGGTAAGCAGAATGTGCAAATCTGGGACAACTTAAAGGAAAACCCTGCGTTAAGGTGATACGCATCCAGAACAGAGCAGATTCAGCATGGCATGGTTTCTCCTTCCAAAACATATTCTCTCATTAGAATTGGTAATGGTAGGGATTAGCAGTGAGACCATTCATCCACTCATGCAGTCTAATTGGGTTGAAATGATGAGTGGGTCTCGGTCGCATTTTTTGAGCCCTCATGCATTATGTCATTCTGGAAGAGACGAGTCCAGTCGTCAAATGATGACGGTGATCTCCCAGAACAACTCTAGATTCATTTTTCTCTATAAGGTGGAAGGCGAATCCAATCCAGTGAAATATCTGCAACGACATAACGGAGACACCAGATCCCTTTACTGTAGGGGTTGAACTGTAAAGGTTTTTCCTTTAAGTTGTCAACCCTTTGAGTTGGATAAACCTTTGACCCTTTTTGTGCTTAACAAATGCAGGTATACAAAATAAATAATTAGAAAAAGGGCGTTTTATATTTATATACCCTTAATTTCTTGACAGAAACTGCAATGGGAAAGAAAATTTATGCACAGAGTAACTCTGATTCGGAGTATGTTAGGAGCGTGTACAGGTGAGTTACTGCTTTTATCATTCTAATGCAAATTATAGTAGAAGAAAAAGATCTAATCTGCTGTCTTTCTCTTTATTCTCAGAATGAGCGACATTGTCAGTCGCAGACAGCGGTCACCTTGGTTATGGCCTGACTTCATTTACACTTACTTTAGTGAAGGCCGCGACCACGACAAAACACTCAAGGTCCTCCACTCCTTTACCTACAAAGTGAGTAACGGAGCGGGTCGCTTTTCCACGTTGCGCGATCATGCAGAAATCATGAAATTGTTCAGAAGAAGCATCTCTTCTTCTCTTCCCATTTATTTTCAGGTGATCCATGAAAGAGCTGAGAACATGTCCTGCAACGAGTCAGACAGCGAAAACGACCAAGGCAAGAGGAAACGACGGGCATTTCTGGACATGCTCCTGAGCACCACCTATGAAGACGGCAGCAAGATGAGCCATGAGGACATCCAGGAGGAAGTGGACACCTTTATGTTTCGGGTTGGTGGTTAAGCAATGAAAAGGAATACTTAAGGCTGCTCTTATTAATACATTTATATTACCCAAAAAATTGCACTTTGTGCCAATAAAGGATTTACTTTCTGAGATAATGATGTGAGCCTCTTCTGGGAGAATAATCCACATATCCTGTTTCAATAAAGGGTCTTTAAAAAAGTCTCTAATTAACTCTCTTTATTTGCAGGGCCATGATACTACAGCCGCCGCTATGAATTGGGCTCTCCACCTGCTGGGCTCGCACCCTGAGGTGCACAAGAAAGTTCAACAAGAGCTACAGGAGGTGTTCGGTAATAATAACAGGCTCTACCACTTTAATGGTGTTGTTTTGTTCCTGCCTGAGGGCTTTTTGACTCATCTTTGTTCAAACTCATTTGTTCTTTGTAAGGCACGGGGAGCTTTTTCAGGGATAAGAGCTGTGAACATACCCGCCAGAATACACAGACAAAAAGTGCAGCATAATAACTTTCTTTACCGATGGCCTTGTAACCATAGGCAACCAGGCTAATTTGTCCACAAGTAGAGAAGGATAATTTTGCCATATGGTCATCACTTATATTTCCAATGTAAACCCTATGCTACAGCCACACCTGGGGAAGCAGTGATTGGAGACCGTGGCATGACTTTTGTAGCCATGTGCAGTGAACTTATAACCTTTTTGTCTTTGAAATGGTTGCTTTGAAGACGGGGACCAGGGTCAGTTGCTGTCTTCAGGTTGACTGTGGTGCATTAAGATGGTGATAAAACAGCAATAACATGGAGTCAGTCTGCTATCACTGTGATTGTGATTGAATGGGGGCAAGTTAGCGATAACTTTCAATGTGTTTATGATAGTACAGCAATTTACTGCAGTGAATCACCCAAATGTACATACACAGAAATTAATATTAAACAGAAACTGACATCAACCACTTATATTCAGATTACAGAAAGAACTGCATAGATCTAAAAAAGAATTTAAAAATTCCGATTTAACTACCGACATAGATGCAGCTTTTTATATAGGACTATAACAAGAACGCAAACAACTGGTATCCAGTTGAGTGAAATCACCGATTGCAAAGAGTTGCACCGCAGATGAGTTGCACTGACTGATCCAGATTGATTGCAATATCCTCGTGATCTGTCTGCATTTATAAATTTGGCCACAAATGTCTGCAAACCTTCACCAGCCCATATGGGCTGATTCGGATCACAGTTATTTGGAGACAGGTCGACTCCCACCATGTGACCTGTGCAATGACTTGGAATCAAAAGTGGTTGTTCTGAGATAGCTGGCCACTGCAAGTACGTGCAATTGGTTGTTAAAAGTGCAAAAAGTTACCAAAATCCTTGTAACCTCACCATATTTGCAAAGAGGTTACTATCCTATTTTTATCCTGTTGTGTCTGAGCTATTAGATTACCTTACCACACCTGGTTATATAATTAATTTGTTATGTTAATGATTGTTGATTTACAGTCACAAGGTTGATAACAATTATTGCTCTATAGAGAGTTACAGATCTTGAGTGCTGTCCTATTTACAGGTGAATTTTAGGATGTACTGTTGCACTTTTACCTACTGAGGCAGGTTAAGTATCACTGTATGTCTAATCTGTGCTGTGGTGCTGTTTAATGTTCAAAGGTACATCTTCCCGGCCCACCAGCACTGAGGACCTGAAGAAGCTCAAGTACCTGGAGTGTGTGATCAAGGAGGCTCTGAGGCTGTTTCCCTCTGTGCCTTTCTTTGCTCGTAGCCTCGGTGAAGACTGCTATATCAGTGAGTTAAAGATTAGATCGTTGGCACCTGAAACAAATGGCTCATTGACCCCAAACACAAGACGGTGCTGATACCTCTTCACAAAAAGGGAAGCCAGTCTTCCTCTGTTGTCGTGGCCACGTAACAGATGCATCTGAGTAATCGGTTTTGCCTGTTTTTGGTGTCATACTTTCTTCGTACTTTTAGACGGTTTCAAGGTTCCTAAAGGCGCAAACGCGATCATAATCACCTACTCTCTTCACCGTGATCCACGGTACTTCCCCGAGCCCGAAGAGTTCAGGCCTGAGCGTTTTCTGCCGGAGAATTCGGTGGGAAGGCCTGCCTATGCATACGTCCCCTTCTCAGCTGGACTCCGCAACTGTATAGGTAAGGACTTTTAAATTTATAGTCTCCATACGCGCTTCGCTGTGTGAGGTTTCCAAATAGGTGCGTCACGTCTTCGTTTGTTTTACTGTCATTTTCTTTAGGCCAGCGTTTCGCACTCATGGAAGAAAAGGTGGTGCTGGCGGCTATTTTGCGGAACTTCACAGTCGAAGCCTGTCAGAAACGCGAAGACCTCCGCCCGGTTGGAGAGCTCATCCTACGACCAGAGAAGGGCATCGTGATCAAATTAGAAAAGAAGACGCCTCAAACGTCATCAAACTAACACCTGATGCAGCATCCTGGGGAATTTTCTCTGCATGGTTTTTATCTAATGACACATAACAATGTGACATTTTTAAAAAATATTTTAGTAATTTTAGGAAATTCCTATTTTCATAATGATAAATATTCATAAATACAGATGACAAAGGAATCCTGAAATGCTGTTTGCTGTGTTGTGTGTAGACACAGCACTGGTCCATCTTTGAGCTGAATGATTCACAGGTCAGTGTGAAGAGGCTTAAAAAATCCTCGAAAGCAAAATATAAAGAAAGAGTTTTCCAAACTATAAGATTTACAGTATAGATTTACACCATATTGTGAGTTACATTAATAAAAATGAACCGACGATTTCAAAACACGCGACTGATTAATTGTGGAAAATGAGATAATCAGCTACTTAAATGGAGTCAGTCACAGATAATTATTTTCTAGGTTACACCCATTTTACGAAAAAATGAAAGCATTCATCTTGATTCCCAGCTGGGATAGGCTCCAGCCGCCCTGCACCCTGAGTTGGATAAGTGTACGAGAATGGACGGATGGATGATTCACATCCACTATGCACTCTGCACGAGTTTATACCCATGTATGACACATTTCTGTTATTTTGTATGTGGCTGTGTAACGTAGATAAACAGTATGGAGGATTAAAAACGGAACTTATGTACATGCACACACATATATGTATATATATTTTGTGGTATCAGCTTGTAATGAAGTCCTGAATCACACTTTAAGATATTAATTACACTTACAGTACAAACAAGATCTGTCTTTTGACTGTGCAGTGTTTCAAGTGCTATAGTAATTTTTAACCTTTAGCCATTGTGTTTTCTGTGGATTGACCCCCCTTTAAAAAAAAATAGTTGCTGTCTTTATGTGTAGCTTTCATTTTCTTTACTTACCAAAAACCTACTATTCTTTCTCCAATAAAAAGTGTTGCTTAAACTGTGTTTTTCTGGGATCATTTCAAAGATTTGGACATATGAGAGATGCACATATGAAACGGTCAATTTCCACATCATCCATCAGCTCACAAGCCACATTCGTGCAGCCAAGTCTGTAGCCTCGAGTCAAGCTGAGGCTGTAGACTTCATGGAAACGGCCGACACAGCCACCGTCATGGAAGCGTGGACTGTGGAACTGAGATATTCTGTTTGATCATAGTTCTGCTCGATCACAAGGCTGGCCTGCTCCAAAGTATACCTTTATGTATTGTTCTTGTGGACACTGATGTGACCATAAATGTACAAAATGAAGATCATAGTGAATTCATAACGAGTCCGTAAACCTAATCAGGAAAGTGTTTGCTGTGGTCAAAGAGAAAGTTAGCCTTGGGTCATTTTCTTATAGACTGCTATAAAACTAGGCGATTCCCCCCCCTCCTGTTGGTTACTGGTCAGGTTTAAGGTACTTCTGGGCTAAATCCATCTTTTGTTTAGCGTTGTTGGTTCTGTCATTCCAGCTCTGAGCACACGTCTAAAAACTTGTCCTTAAAACTTTTTCCTAAAACTTCTAAAACTCTCCTCGGTGTACTTTCAGGCTCTCGAGTATCAAGACCAAAACTCACTAAATCAGAATTGAGGTCAAAAAGGCTCCTTTGTAAGAATAGGTAATCACAGCATGATACAGTTACAAATGACCCCATTCATTATGTCATCGAATGATTTAGCAGGTGCGCCTGCAAGGGTCATTGCCTAACACCCAAATGACTTGACTGATGATGAATAGCATCTTCTTTCCCAATGCTATTTTTTGAATTATTGAGCACATCTCTAATCAATGAGCAGAGCTGAGGTGCCCGAGCTCTAAATGAAGCAGGAAGAGTTCATTTATCTGAGGATCTCTAATAAATGGCTGAGATAGAGGAGCTTTATGTGGGGCTCGAGTATAGATGGATTATAAGAGATGACTTTTCAGGACACCTTTATAACAATAACACATACATTTACTCAAACTGAGCTCATAATATGCAATAAATTAAAGTATCAAAACACTGTAATAAAACTATAAGTAGAAAAGTATGTGATACATCATCATACAGTGTGATGTTGTTGAAGTTTGAAACCACATTGGCTGTAAAGACTGTCAAGATCAATTTAATCTTACAGTAGCCTCGAGCAACTGTTCACTTTATTGGGCATTTCTGTATAAAACAAAGTAAGTTTGGTATGATAGAAGACCTGGAAAGAAGACTGACCCCATTAATCTGCTGAAGTAACCTCATCATGTACACCCTGGCTGCTTTTATTTTACAGCACACTGCAGTTACGTAATAATTTCAACAATATTTTAGATTCTCGCTGTAAAATCTTTGTGGTTTTTTCTCTGTGAACAACTTTTTTCCCCCCTGCTCTGCAGACGTAATACTAACTCTGAGTTCGCCAAAGTTCAAATGTTTCTAAAGTGCAAAGGCAGGTTTGCTGAAGAGGGACAACAGACAGTTCAAAGTACATGTGCAGTTGCCAAAATAGCACAGGTTCATAACTGGGCCGTGCATGGGGTTGCAAGATGAATTTGAATGGTTGTGAGATGATTCGCAAGACATAAAGAAACAAAATATGGCTAATTTGTAGGGTTTTTTCTGAGTTTTTGTCAGTCTTTTAAATATTGTTTCAGTTTAAATTGCTGGTTAAACTGCAGTTACTTTGAATACTTTACAGGCAGAAAGTGAAACAATCCATCAGACCTGTTAAACTGTGGACCCCAGAGTCTGAGAGCATCCTGCAGGACTGCTTTGCCCAAACAGACTGGGGTGTGTTTCAAACTGCAGCCACTATGAAGAACTGCTATGTGACTGGGTACATCAGCACCTGTGTTGAAAATATTGTGCCCACCAGAGATGGCAGTACGTTATTAACGCGTTACTGTAATTGATTATTTTCAAGTAACGATAAGTAAATTATTGAAATCGTATTATTACTTTTCCGTAACGCTTACTGGTTAAAACTATTTTTCGAATGTCTCATGACAGTGACGTAAGCAAGTGCGACGTTGGTGACAACAGCTGTGTGCAGATCAACAATGGATAATATATCGAGTGCGGGAGAGAGTATGAGCGTGCAGCGTTTAAAGCGTGGAAGTACTGACCTTACTTTGAGTTTGATTCCATAAAAAGTGACAAAAACATTAGCGTCCATCGTGCGTGGGAAGAAAACTTATTTTTACAGCGAAAAAAACCCCTAAACTTCCGAGCAAGCACCGAGTAGCTACGACGTGATGGGAAACTCACAGGGACACTCGCGCGGATTCTTCAACTGACCGCAGCACACCTGCACCAGGGTAACCCTCCGCCTACCCTGCTCCTGCTTTACAGGTGAAAATAGAGCAACAGGACCGCTGAGTCTTTGACTTTATTTATTTTCTGCTGTGTTTTACTTGCATCTGTTTGAAAGAGTGAGTGAAAACACAAAAAATATTTTATTTTATGTGCTGGAATGTGTAGAAAATAGGTTTAAATGTTAAACTAATTTATTCAAGTCAGAATGTTGCAGAAATAAATGTTTCTTGATCATAAATTAAAAAAAATGATAAAAATTTAAAAAGACTTCATTATAATTGTATGATGATATCAGAAAAATAAATCTAAAGATATCACTTACACTTCAGTGTAATCGTTTAAAAATAATAATAAAAAATAATAATATTTGAAAATAAAATCATAAAACGGATACTTTTTATAATCATAATATTACTGATTATTTTCAAGTAACTGACCACACGCCACCACAAGTCAGAATGTTCCCCAACCAGAAGCCCTGGATCAACAGTCAGGTACGACACATGCTGCGTACTCAGTCGCTCGCATTTAGATCAGGCACTGAGATGGAGTACAAAGCTGCGAAGTATGGATTGAGGAGCAATGCAAAACTCTGTGAACTAACAATAAAAACAACATAAAAGACTCCTATCACATTTCAATGTCAGCAAGCTTTATCCGAGATGTGCGTGCGCCTCATGGGGCTCTCTGACGAAATGAAATGAAACCAGAGGAGAAATGTGAAGACAGATTTTTTTCCTCCCCTTTTCCTTCAAAATTCAGGTTTTGCTGAACGTGTTATGAAATCCTGCTACTTGACAGAGAAACACATCTGTACTGTATACTCCGAGATCAGAGAGACCACACTGCTGACGAATACAGTGCAGTTCAAACTAACGCCCAGGGAGTGGCAGTAGTGTATGGTTTTTCTAGAGTGCAAAACAAAGGCAAGGAGGACTTGGTTCTGTGTGTGTGTGTGTGTGTGTGTGTGTGTGTGTGTGTGTGTGTGTGTGTGTGTGTGTGTCAGACAGAGGGAGAGAGAGACCAACACACACAGCAGACTGTATCTACATGTTTTTCTGTATCACTGCCAAGCAGCTTCATGTCGATGTGACTGACAGCTGTCTTCAGCACGTGTGCAGCCTGTGAGTTTCAGATTCTCTGCATCTTTATATTTGAATGACACGTTATAAATGTATGCAATGTTCCTTTAACAATCCTTAATTAGCACCATGTGTCCAATCTTAGCAACAGCCAACAGTGAAAGCCAGATGCAGAAAGACAATGAAGGAAAAAAAATCTAAATTCCGAAACATATTTAAATTAAAAACTCAAATGACATTGATTTACATATGACAAGATCAATCTGAGTGTGAGACGAGCAGCGTCCCCCAAAGCTGCCAAATAGCTGTCGTGTTTGCAAATGGCACAAGGCATCGTAATCTCTCGGCAGTCTCTCGTCTCCTTGATGTGGCAGACCTGAACTGACCTGCTTAAAAATCCTCGGGATTTTCTCAAGTTTAGAGTATAGCAACACAGAGTGACCTGCTGTCCAAATAAGGTTTCATTTTTCCACTTCCTATGACTCACAATATGAAGTCACAGTAATATCATGAACAAACGGGCACTCTAGCAGGCTTAGATCACATATGTTTGCCAGGTGGTGCATTGCTGGTTAGGCTTCTGCTACATTTGTGCCAGCTCCCTTATTTTTTGTCATGTTCTGTGATCCTTATAAGGTATTGTTTCGCACAGAAACAGCCAGAACATGAAATTTAAAGGTAAAATAGAGATTTAAAGGATCAAGCTTACAGCATTATACTTCCATCAAGAGACCAAAGGCGTATTAACTGCAGCTGAAAAAAGTTCCAACATGGGCATGTTTAATTTTATTTTTTCTCTCTTGTGTTATTTTATTTCTTGATGGAAAATTCCTCATCCTTTAAAACAATCATTAATTCTTTTCTACAACAAACCTAACTTGACCTCACAGGAAGAAATTGGATTGGATCTGAGTCCCACAGAAGGACTGTAAATGAAAAAGTAATACAAGGGCAGTTTCAGAAACATGATAAAACTTAGAATGATGCTGGTGTAGTCTGAAAGAAAATCTGAACTAACCAGTTACCACTAATAAGGGCATTAAAAGCCATATCATTGAACGTTGAAAGGAAAACAGAAACACAGTTAATGTGCATAGTCTGACATTGGCAATGCATAAAAGATAAAATTTAAATATCTGAATTCCTGATGATGTTATGCACCTGATCTACTGAAGCACAGACGTCTGGTTATACACAATGAATCCTTGTATTATTATGATTTTAAGTGCTTTCTTGTATGTTACCAATAAATCATTCATATGAGCGACAGACTACCAATTTAACTTTCAAGTATTTCATGCTAATTTAAGGACCCATTAAAAACAATGGAGTACTGTTGAGTGAAGCTTCACTCACTCCAGCACCAGTGTTGGGTTCCAAGGTTGTAGGGATATAAAGCTGTTTGCATCTAATCTTAAATTTAGCAGATATTCACTATACTAACGGTGTAAATGGAAAATCTGACTGACAAAAGGTGGGTTGGCTAAAACATGATGTTTTTTTCTTGTCGATTTTGGCTCTGTTGGGGGCAGTGTTGGTCAAGTTACTTGAAAAAAGTAATCAGTAACTAATTACT